AGCCACATTGAACAACTGTGGCAAGGGTTCAACTGAACCACCTTGAGGTGTCCTCAATCCTTGTTGACTATCTTCCTCCTATGTCTAAATGAATCTCCTTTTGTTATTGTTAAAGACCCATGAGTTTCTCATTTCATTTTAATATCAAGCATATGCTACAGGGAACTTGTTTGAGTCAGGCCCACCCAACCTAGAACAAATTAGTATTGTTATTTGTTTGTGGATTCTACTAAACTCCTCTGAAGTGTCTTCAAACTTTAAAATTCTAGATATCTCTGATCTCCATGAAGTAGGCACTACAAATATCATTTTTATGTAAGGTTGATTTTAGAAAAAGCTTCCTAATCATTGCTGTTGTTCGGTCATTCAGTTGTGTTTGATTCTTTGTGAACCCATGGACCATAATGTCCATTGAATTTTCTTGGCAAAAGTGGTTGGTCATTTCCTTCTTCAGTGGATTAAGGCAAACGCAAGTTAAGTGATTTTCCCATGGTCACACAGCTAGTAAATATCTGAGGCTGAATTTCAACTCAGGTGCTCCTGATTCTAGGCTCTATCCTCTGAGCTATCTAGCTGCCTAACTCCTAATCATTAAGTCAGTCTAAAATTGAAATTGGCTATCCAAGGAGGTAAGGATTCCTTTTTATAGGAGGTCTTCTGGCAGAGTCTGATTGACTGCTTGTGTATATTATGGGATGGAGGAGATAGGCTTTTACTGTATACACAGAATATATGTATATATATATATATGTATGTATATGTATATATATATATATATGTATACATATATATGCACACACATGTCTTTTTTACTCTAATTAACAAAATCCACCTTCTCTTCTTCTGACCCCATTCCTTCCTCTCTAAATGAGAATGAAAGAAAAAAGAAACCTCCTATCATAAACATAGTCAAGCAAAACAAATTTTCACAGTGTTCCTCTATAAATGAATCAATGAATGAATACATATGTCTCATTCCATACTCAGAGCTGTTCACTTCTCTATCAAAAGGTGGGTAGCATGTTTCATCATATGTCTTTGGAATTGTTATAGAGTATTAGGCTAATCTGAATTTCTAATTCTTTCAAAGCTTTTTTTTGGTCTTTAACATATGTTTGTCATTGTATACATTATTCTCTGGATTCTTTTCACTTCACTCTACATCAGTTCAAACAAGTCTTCCCAGGTTTCTCTGAAATATTCTTTTCAGCATTTTCTGTAGCACAACAGTACTGCATCACATTCACAGAATACAACTTGTTCATTGATTTTCCAACCCTGTCCCTTGGTTTCTACTATTTACCACCTCAAAAAAGAGCAAAATAAAAAGAGCATATGGGTTTAAGCACTGGTAGGCTGCTATTGGACTCCACCATCTGGGAAGCTTTAAGTGACAAAACTGTAAGTTCTCCTTTGACTTAAGATTCTTGCTCTAGTTATTACTGTACAGGTTTCAGATTGGGTTAGAAGCTAGAAATGAGACCCTTCTGTGTTCCTGGGATGTGAGCCATGACACTGCTACTTGTTCTTGAACTTCCTTCTCTCTTTGTATATAGTATTTGTCCTGTAGCCACCCTCCACCTTCAAATACCACTGTTGGGGACAGATATATTCCTTAGTCTGTCCTGGAGCTGTGATCCACAGGAGCAGTGGGTGACAAAACTGCTAGTTGCCACCCATTCCCATGCAGGACCTCATATGGATTTATCCCCAGTTTCTCACATTATGCTACAGTACTCCCTGTCACTGCTTCTGGCCAGACCCAGTCGCCAGTGTCCACAGACTTCTCTTCCTTTCTCCCTATGCTGACCTGAGATGGAAAAATTGTGATATTTCCCTATCAGAATTCAGCCTGGCATGTTTTTAGGTTTGCTTGGAGCAGTTTAACAAGTGATTTCACTATACTTTCCCCCCCTGCTATTCTACTTTCTTGGCTTTGTCTCCCAAATATATAATTTGATGTCCCTTCTGTCTCTAAAATTCTGTGATTTTTCGTTTCACACACGATGAAATTGAAGCCCAAAGAATCTAAGTAAACTGTTAATGGCTTTGAATTGCCATTGAATCTATAGGTTTCAGATTGGTTTAGAAGCAAGAAATTACACCCTTCTCTGCTCCTGGGATGTGAATGTCAGAGGCAGCTGGAACCCAGGTCTCCCTGACTCTTGATCTAACACTATTATAGCATATTGCCTCTTTATATGTGGCTATCATTTAAGGACCAGGCTAGGTTACTGAAGAGAGACTTTTCATGAGAAGGTTGATCCCTAAATGATTATTTTTTTTTTAGAGGGGAAGCACAGTATCTCAAGAACACTTCATGTTTAGAATAATGATATACAAAGTATGGAGTTGGGATAAAGAATTCACAATCTGAATCAATGGAAGAGGTATCTATGTCAATACCATGATTGATCTCTTTTTTTCTTAATAATAAATAGCATTTTATTTTCTCCCTCAGTTACATGTCAAGAAAATGTTCAGCATTCATTTTTATAAGATTTTGAGTTCCAAATTTTTCTCCCTCCCTCCTCTCCCCACCTTCTGAAAATAGTAGACAGTTTGATATAGTTTATATGTGTGCTATCATGTAAAACATTTCCATATTTGTCACAGTTGTGAAAGAAGAAACAGATCAAAAGGGAAAAAAACATGAGAAACAATAAAGTAATTTAAAAATATGCTTCAAACTGAATTTAGAGTCAATTAGTTCTTTATCTGGATGTGGATAGCATTTTCCTTTGTGATTCTTTTGTACTTGTCTTGGATCGTTTTGTTGCTGAGAAGAGCTGAATCATTTATAGTTGATCATCACACAATGTTGTTGATATGACATACAATGTTTTTCTGATTTTGCTCATTTCACTTTGCATCAGTTCATACAAGTCTTTTCTGAAGTCTACCTGTTCACCATTTCTTATTGTACAATAGTATTCCATTACATTAATATACACCAGCCTGTTTATCCGTTCCACAACTGATGGGGATCTTCTCAATTTCCAATTCATTGCCACCACAAAAAAGGACTACTATTAATATTTTTGCATATGAATGTCCTTTTCCCTTATGATCTGTTTGGGATACAGACCTAGAAGTGATATATTGCTGGATCAAAAGGTACATACAGTTTGGTTGCCCTTTGGACATAGTTCCAAATTACTCTCCAGATTGGTTGGATCACTTTGCAACTTCATCATCAGTGCACTAGTATCCCAAATTTCCCACATCTGCTCCAGCATTTATCATTTTTCTCTTCTGTCATATTAGCCAATCTGATAGGTGTGAAGATGTACCTCAGAGTTATTTTAATGTATATTTCTCTAATCAAAAGTGATTTATAGCACTTCTTCATATGTCTATAGATGACTTTGATTTCTTAATTTGAAAACTACCTGTACATATCCTGTATCAATTGGGAAACAGCTTGTTTCTTGCAAATTTGACTCAGTTATCTATATATTTGAGAAATAAGGCCTTTATTAGAGATACTTGCTGTAAATATTGTTTCCCAGCTTTCTGTTTTCCTTCTCATCTTGGTTGCATTGGTTTTGTTTGTACAAAAGCTTTTTAGCTTAATATAATCAAAATTACCTATTTTGTATTTTGTGATGCTATCTCTTGTTTGGTCACGAATTCTTCCCCTACCCATAGGTCTGACAGGTAGACTATTCCTTGCTCTTCTAATTTGCTTATGGTGCCACCCTTTATATCTGAATCATGACAAAGGTCTGTCAAATCCAACTTTTTTAATATTCTATTTACCTCCTTAATTTCTTTCTTGTTTATTTTTTGGTTGGATTTATAGTGTTCTGAGAGGGGACAGCTGAGGTCCCCCACTAGTATAGTTTTGCTATTTCTTCCTGTAACTCACTTAACTTCACTTTAAGAATTTAGATGCTATACCACTCGGTGCAAATATGATTAGTATTGATATTGCTTCATTGTCTATGGTACCTTTTATTAAGATGTAGTCTCCTTCCTCATCTCTTTTAATTAGGTCTATTTTTGCTTTTGTTATGTCTGAGATCTGGATTGCTATCCCTGCTTTTTTCATTTCAGCTGAAGCATAATAGATTCTGCTCTAGCCCTATACCTTCTCTCTCTCTCTCTCTGTCTCTCTCTCTCCTCCAAATGTGTTTCTTGCAAACAAAATATTGTAGGATTCTGGTTTTTGATCCACTTCCATTTTATGGCAGAGTTCATCCCATCCACATTACAGTTGTCACCTACGTATTTCCCTCCATCTTATTCTTCTATCTGTCCTCTCTCTCTTTTCACCTTTCCCCTCCTCACCAGTGTTTTGCTTCTGTCTGCCACCTCCTGTGATCTTCTTCATTTTTGTAAATCCTCTCCTTTACTTAATATATTCCCTTCCTGTTGGGTAAGATAGATTTCTATGTTCAACTCATTGTGTATATTATTCCCTCTTTGACCCAATACTGATGAGAGCAAGGTTCAAGTGATGCTCATTGCCTACCCTCCCATTTTCCACTCCACTGTAATAGGTCTTTTGTGCTTCTTCATGTGAAATTATTTACCTTATTCTGCCTCTCCCTTCCTTCTACACCCATTGTATTCCTCTTTCTTATCCCTTAAGATTTTTTTTATGACATTCCCTTAAATTCACCGTGTATCCATGTCCTCTGTCTATGTATATTCTTTCTAGCTATACTATTAGTGATACAATTTTTTTTTCAGTAAGGCAATGGGGGGTAAATGACTTGCCCAAGGTCACATAGCTAGTAAGTGTCAAGTGTCTGAGGTCGGATCTGAACTCAGGTCCTCCTGACTCCAAAGCCAGAGCTCTATCTACTGCACAACTTAATTGCCCCTAGTGATAATCATTTTTTTTCACAATGATAAATTTTATTTTTCAATCTTTTAAAGTCCTTACGCAGATTCTTGAACTGGTGGTTCATAGCCATCAGCCCTTCCTACTTTTGTGCCCATTTCATCTCCTGAAGGTTTTCCAGAGCCACCGCCTTCACCATGCAGTTCCATTAGCTTTCCCAATCCAAACAATTTTTACCCTGAACATCTTTAGTAATTAACTTGAATTTATGAAAAGCAACCTCATCATTCTGCAGATCAGCAAGGCTCACTTCAAAAACTTGACCCTTGAGACCATCAGAGTCAATTTTTGTTCCTTGGGTCCTTATAACCAATGTCTTGCCAATATTGTGAATGTTGAACGTAGGTGTTGTTTTTACACCATACCAATTCTTCTTTGAAAATGGATCAGCCTGGGGCAGCTAGGTGGCGCAGTGAATAGAGTACCGGCCCTGAAGTCAGGAGGACCTGAGTTCAAATCCAGCCTCAGACCAAACACTTGACACTTACTAGCTGTGTGACTCTGGGCAAGTCACTTAACCCCAATTGCCTAAAAACAACAACAACAAAATGAATCAACCACTTTCTTCTTGGCTCCTTTTTTGCCGCCTTTGGTGAGGTGCTTGTTCTTGCCCACTGCCATGATCCCACTCTGAAAGCCAACAGCATGATATAATTTTTAAGAATTACAAGTATCATCATCCTGTGTAGGGTTGTAAATATTTTAGCTCCATTCAATGGCAAAAGTAGTGTGTATGTTTCTCATGGGTCTAGATATTGGAGGTCAAATTTTTGGTTTAGTTCTTGTCTTCTTCTTATGAAAGGTTGAAATCCTTCTATTTCATTGAATGACAATTTTTCCCTTGATGTATTATCCTTAATTTCACCATGTAAGTGATTCTTGGTTGTAGTCCTAGCTCTTTTGCTTTCCAGAATGTCATGTTTCATGACTTCTGATCTTTTAATGTTGCAGCTGCTGAGTCCTGTGCAAACCCATCATAGATTTCTTTAAAAAAAAAAAGTGTGCTTAAAATGACCCTATTTAATAATTGCTTCATGCTAAGGAATTTTTTCAAGTTGATCCCTCTTCAAGTACTGAAGAATTATATAGAGTAGGGGTTGCTTATGCTAACTTAGCACTGTTATCAAAGTAGCAATTAGTTGATTAGATTAGCCAGCTAAAACAAAACAAAGAACAGCAATTGCATTCAATATCCCCAAACCTGCAAAATGTGATTCTAGGCATTACCAACAAACTTTATGGGATGGAACTCTTCTATCTCAAGATATTTTAACTAGGAACTTTCAACTTTTGCTTTCTAAAATATTCACTGCATAACCTGAAAATTTGTAAAATAACTTAGCAGTTTGGTTTAAAATCTAGGGGTGTGAAATTCCACAAAAAATTAACTTCAAAGTAAATTAGTAGTTTTTCTCATCTATTTTCATCAAAGAAAGAGTGGGAGGAATGTAGAACCTCTGAAAGCATACATTATAGTTTATTATGCAGGGGAAAAAAAGAGGGAAAATGAACCCAGGAACAATTAACATGCAATGTTAATGTCTTTCATAACCAGATTATCACAGCTACACATAAGATTAAAAATGTGAAGGTATTTTAAAAATAAAAGTTACAATATAAATGCAGAGTCATATCACTATTATTACTTCTCATGAGGGAGAATGGAGTAGTTTTCGATATTTCTTAGATTCTATGATGATGAACATGGTATATGGGATTTTCCTTCAGCTATTTCAAATTTGGACAAAGGGTGAGAGGTAACAAATGGCGACAGAAAACTTTTTGGTGGAGGAATAGGTTAGAGAGCACAGATAAGATAAACTGCTAAGTTTTGAGCAGCTTGTAAGCTATTTTTCCTCAGCATCTTAATATCACTGTTTCCCATCAACCCAGATAGAATTCTAGAATCTTTAGAGTTGGAAGCAATATTGTCACCTTCTGGCCCTTGCAGAAACCCACTGAACAACATCTATGACATACGGTCTTTTGCCTCTGCTTAGGTACTTCTAGTGATAAAGAACTGATAACCTCAAAAGACCATTTAGTTTTTAGGAAACCTGCCTCACTGTAACTTTGGTCCTTTGTTCTTGGCTCTTTCACTCTAGAATTAAACTAAGTAAAAACTTTGTAACATGTCTTCATATCTTTGAAGACATTTCAAATAATACCTGATCTTTAATTTTTTAAAAGCTAATATCTTGAGTTCATTAAAGTGGTCTTTATTTTAATACATTATTTGCATTATCATCCTGGTAACTCTCTTCTGGAGAGTTTGGTAATGTTCTGCATATAACATGGCACCCAGAAGTGAACCCTATGTTCCAAGTAAGGTCTAACCAAAATCAAGTACAGCAGTACAATTATGTCCCAGGTTCAATTAATCTGCAAGTGTTTCTATAGCACCCATATTGTGGTAGGCTCTGCACTACATGGTGGGGATACAAAAACAATGAATTAGTTGTCTGGTCTCTGTTGTGAGGTTCTAGACACCATACAACCTGATTACATTGATGTAATTTAATAAAAATGCATAGAGAATTGGAAAAACTATTTAAAAAAACTATTCAGAAAAAGAAAAATGTTGATGTTTCACATGGTGATTAAAGGATCTTGAAGCACTTTGCTTAGAATTGCCTTTTAAAATTGGTATTCAAAGTATTGTTATACATTTTTAAAAAAATTTACTTCAACACCTATTTGTTCACGTGAGCTTCTTGTTCCTTTTTGAATCTTTGCCCATGCCATCATATCCTGTGTTTAGTTGAACTTTTTAAAGTTTGCTTTCCTAAATTCTAGGAGTCACTAGTTTGACTATTATAAATTATAAGATAAACTGTTCACTTGTTCCCTAGACTTTTTGTCACTTCTACTTCATCAACAAGTTACTTCTTGTTGGTTGGAACTGGCCCAACATATCAGCTCTCTTTATCGATTCCTCCATTTTTTAGAGATTAAATTGTCGGCAAGGAAAGTCAAGATTGATTTGAGTAGATGCTCTGCTTTCGGCTGAAGAAAACTTCCAGCAGATCCCCAGATAGTTAAGTTCTCTATCACTACTATATCTTGCCTCTGTATAGGTGTATAGTTTATCAACATAAATTCTACATTCACACCTTTTTGATTATGTCGTTGTTTAGTAGAAGTTACAACCTTCTATAAATGCCATTCCATTGTGTTTTCATTGCTGCTATATTTACTTTCTTGTGTTAATTTCAAGATTGTCTCTGTTCTCTCTCTCTCTCTCTCTCTCTCTCTCTCTCTCTCTCTCTCTCTCTCTCTCTCTCTCTCTCTCTCTCTCGCCCCCTTCGCTTCCTCTTTCTCTCTCCACTATCTCCACCCTCCATCCTGTCTCTTCCTTGCCCTCTTCCTTCCCCTCTATCTCCACATTTACATGAGAAACACTGTAATACAGTGGGAAAAGAGCTGTCCTCTGCATTAAGAAGAATCAGTTTCAAGGTTGGCTTCTGACAAATAGTGGGTGTGTGATCCTGGCCATACAAATTACTTATCATCTCAGGGTTCTAGTTAACTCTGTAAAAACATAAAGTACAGAGAAGGGGTTGACCTGCATTAATAGAGGGAATCAGTGAAATCATAGATCTAGTCCAGGAATGGGGAACCTGCAGCCTTGAGGCCACATGTGGCCCTCTAGGTCCTCAAGTACAGCCCTTTGACTGAATCCAATTCATTCTGTGAAGTTTGGATTCAGTCAAAGGGCCCTAGCCCTGGTTACACACACACACACGCGCACACACACACACACGTGTGTGTGTACACATGGATGTGCACGCATATACGTTTGTGTATATGTGTATGCTTGAGAGACTATGTATAATGTCTAAATCTGTTCTCAGTTATTTTCTCCTGAAAGTCATGAAGTGATTCTTCCTTGGAGATGTGCACTTTGCACTCACTTTCTGGTGACTGGCCGTGTCATTCTATCTTTATAATCTGTACAGATATGGACATTACAAAGAGATATCTTAATCTTTAAACACTCTGGTTCTTCCTGAAGCTCCCTTCCTGAAGCATGAAACAGCAGGAGAGAAACAGGACACTGGTAGCCAGAATAATAAGCAGATGGAATCAGACTGTAAGCTAACATTTGAGCAATGTTTTAAGATATTGCTTTTATCTTCACAGAAGTCTTTTTGCTTAGGGTAATCATGCTTAGGTACTGCATGAAAAAAATGACTGAATGTCCCATGAAATGATACTTCTTGTTATCTTTGATTTCAGGAGGAAGCCATTTCTGTCATCTCTTTCCTTGCTCTTCCTCTCCAAGAAGAACTGGAGCCATCATCTTACTAAGAGCAATGGATGTGTAATGTATGAATCTAAGTTCAAATCACAGCTCTCTTGTTTGACTTTGGGTAAATCACATAAGTTCTCTGGGCCTCAATATTCTCATTTGCTAAATGAAGGAGTCATAATCTTCACACTTATTGAGTAATTCTGTAATCTCTGAAATCTCTTTAACCCTTGAGGGCAAGGACTTTTTAATTTTTGTCTTTGTATCACCAGCACCCAACATAGTTTCTGACTCATATTTCAAACTTTATCAATATTGGTCAATTAATTTTTCCCCTAAGACCCAATGAAGTAGGTTGTATGTATATTATTATCCCTGCTTTGTAGATGAGGAAACTGAGGGTTAGAGAAATTAAGTCATGTATCTGTGGTTATACAATGTTGGAGAAATTCCAAACTATGCCTCCTGACCTTAAGATAAGCTCTTTCTATTAAAAGTAATCTGCACTAGTAACATAATAGACAGGGAGAAGGTTTTGGAGTCAGGAATACAATAGTTTATGTTATGTCCTCCTACCAATATGATTGCTCCTCTGCCTCCTTTGCTGTCATTTAAATATGTTATCAGAGCTGGATCCTTTTCTAGATCACACCCTCTAAGCAAAGGTGTCTTTTAGGGTTCTGTCATAGATCCTCTTCTCTTCTCCCTCTGTTACTAATTCAGCTGGTAATCTCATCAACTCCCCAGGATTTAATTACTGCCTTTGTGCTTATGATTTTTAAATCTACCTCTGCTGCTCCAAACTTCCTGCAGATTTCCATTTTTGCATTTTTAACTGCCTTTCAAATGTCTTCATCTGAATGTCTAGTAAACAATTTAAAACTCAGCATGAACAAAATCGAACTCATTAACTTCCCCCCCCAAAAAAAATCCTAATCCTCTCCTACCTTCCCTACCATTGCAGAGAGCAACACTATCCTGTCACGTCCCTCAGACTCACAAGCCAGATGTCATGCTAGAGTCCTTACTCTCTCACCCCTCATATCCCAAGTGTTGACAAAGCCTGTCTATTTCAGTTTTGCAACATCTTTTGAATACATACCGTTTTCTTCTCTGACATTGCCAGCACACTTGATGCACTCATGCATCAAGTATTATAATAAATGGCTGGTGGATTTGCCTATATCAATCTCTGGCAACCCTAATCCAGCCTTCTTTCAGCTACCACAATGATGTTTACTCAAGTATGAGTCTGAATGTGTCCTACAACCCCTACCTCCATGTCTACTAGTTCCCTATTGCCTCCAGGATCAAAATGTTCTGTTTGGTAGTCAAAATTCTTCAAAAGCTACCCCCCTCCTACCTTTCCAGTCCCCTTTCATG